TCCTTTTAGAAGGTCGAGAGGAAGAAAGATATGTTGATAGACTAGTATTGAACATCATTTTGCTTTACCTTGATTTTGTGATTTATATGATTCTTGAATGAATAGATCTAAAATAATATAATTTCAAATCTTAAACTTGTGTCTTCATTCCGTGTACACCCATAGTTTACCTACTGTTTTTAGTAATTTGGTGACTATTAAATAGTTATTCTAACTTTTACTATTATTCAATGAACTAAAAAAAAAAAAGTTTTAAATTTATATTTTAAATAATAGAGGTTTTTTTTTTTTAAATTTAACCATTTTAATATGATCTACATTTCCTTATATCATATTATTTTTTTTGAATTTGATATTAAAAATATATTTTTTACACTTTCTCGTAGTGTAATGCAGGTTACTTCTAGTAGTAGGTTTTTTTTTTTTTAGTTGATTCGAAGAAAATAGATTCAAATTATATATGTTTTTTTTTAGAAAAAATACAGATTGAAGAACAGAGGCAGTTTACCCCTCTAAAGCAACCATAATGTTAATATATAGGTAAGACACAATGTGCCATTACAATATAAGTATTTTATTTTAATTTGGAGAAGAGAAAAACTTAAACTTAACATTTTATATGAAAATGGCATCTACACCTATCATTAGACTAAATGTCGTCCGTTGCATGATTTATAATTAATTGTTTTAAATATAAAAAAAAAATTAAATAAAAATTAAGTACTTATCCAAGTTGTTATTTTTTATTGTAATTAATTGAGATTTTAAATATTTATTTTTGAACAATTGAGTCTTTAAATATTTATTTTTATTCAATTGAACTTTGAATTAGATAAAAATGAATGTGGACGGTTAATCAATTTTTGTTTAATAAGAGTTCAATTGAAAAAAATAAATACTTGAAAATTTATTTGATTGTAATAAAATAAATTGGACTTTGATGATTATTTAATTTTAATTTAAGGGTTTTTTTTTTTATATTTATGCCTAAGTAATTCTTTGATGATTTATATTATGACAAGAAATTTTTACCATAAAAATTTGAATTTAAGGATACATATGGTGTGATTAAGTATTATATTTTGCATAAGAAAATGACACTTGATTGAATTATCATCTAAATGCCTAGGTTAATATAGAGTTATAGGGCCTAAGCTCCAAGGTTAATTTCTTGAAAGTTTATATATTTTACTTAAAAGTAAACAAATAACATAAATACATAACTCTATAATTATTTTGACGATGGGAGGGTTAAATATTTGACAATCGAATCGAAAAAGGGAAGAAATTTTATGGGTATTTGTAACAAAAACAAAGTAATGAAGTATGTGCATGACGTTACGTGATCATTATTTTTTTATTATAAAATTTATTTATTATGATGTATAGTTATATGATCATTAATTTTTTTTTAAATCGATTTAGTAAGATATGTAACATTAATACTTACATATTTAGTTACATTTTTTTTATTATCTAATATGAGATTAATAACCTCATTTGCTTTTTGGAGTGCTTGGAGGTACATATGGCACACTCTATTCGTAATAAAATAAGATAAATTTACCACCAAACATTAATTTATTCCTTAAAATTTTCTGAAGACACGTGTTTGTTATAAAAAACAAGGCAACGGAGCACATGCGTGGCACACGCTTCTGCGAATAAAATAAAATAACTTTATCACCAAACATTATTTTATTCTTTAAATACTAATTCTTAAGACAAAAGATTTCACTGACCAAGCATTATTTGTCTTGTTACTTTCAAATTACATTCTAAAATTTTGGATTTCAACAAATCAGAAAATAATTTTATGAATTATTTAATGAGTAATTAAAGATTTTAAGATATGATTAATTTCTAACCACTTGATTTGCTTAAAGTTAAATACTATATAATAATAGGGCATATGAATGAAAATATTTTTTTTAAATGATAAGGGATTTTTAAATTTCAGCTCATAAATTTTTTTCGAATCGATTTAAATAAATTTATTTATATTAAATCTAATAATTTTATTAAAAAATTATTTTTCACAATTTTCTAATTAACAAATTCAGAAAAAAAATCCTCTTGCTACTTAAGTCAATATAACTTATCTGTTAGTGGATGTGAATGAATATTAAGTACTAGATTAGTTTGCTTTTCTCACTTTCCCTCGTCCTGTCTGCCTAGCTTTTGGTTTTGAGGGTTGGATAAGAATTTTCGTTAGCATTAGCATGAATAAGCCACGTTGATCTTTTTTGTCAAAATAATAGAGGCTGCTAGTACTATCGCATGCTTTGAATAGTTTAATTCATTTATAAGCTTTCAGTAATGGTGAATATTTGTGGCTCAACTACCTTAGTTCCTGTTTAACCTGTCCCCCCTTAGGACATTAAAATTTTGGAAAGATCAGTTGAATTGGCTCATAAAAAAAAGGAGCTTATATAAAAGAAATATAATATTATTGTTGAAAATTGATTTCTTTACTATGTTATTGTGTGTAATTGAACGCTCATTTGAACACAAAAAAGTCGTCTCTTTTGTTAAATAGTTCAAGTACGTGGAATGGAGATATACCCAGACGAATTTTTTCCAAAAAAATACAACACTTTGGTCCATGGTTTAAACATTTGATTACCTCTACTATGTCTCCATGTATGCAATCCGTGACAAATTTTAACTCCATAAATTCTTAATGGATTCACTGTCACAAATTTAAGGGGTAAGGCCATAAATTTGTCTTCATTTCATGTTACAAAACAAATGTCTTTGAATGGGCATAGCTCCTCTACTTATAGCCTGTCTACATGCCCAGTTTTCCATACCAGAGAAAGAGGGAAAAAAAGGGGGGTAAAGAATGAAGAAACAAGTCTATTCAAGTGTTTTAATTATGGTTTGCTTTCTTTTCCTTCTGTCAAATATTGAAGCTCAAACTTGCAAGCCTAATGGCAAGATAAGAGCGAAAAAACCTGGATCAGGACGATGTACCATTGAAGATGACCCTGATTGTTGCAAAGAAGGCAAGCTTTACACAACATATAAATGTTCACCACCGGTTTCTAACCTCACAAAGGCAACATTAACACTTGACAGCTTTGAAGCCGGAGGAGATGGCAGCTCCGCATCAAAATGTGACAATCAGTACCATTCAGATGATAAACCAGTGGTGGCACTTTCAACAGGATGGTTCAATAAGAAAAAAAGGTGTCTCAAGTACATCGAAATCCAGGGCAATGGAAAGAGTGTCAAGGCTAAGGTTGTCGATGAATGTGATTCGACAATGGGGTGTGATGCTAAACATGATTATTATCCTCCTTGTCATAACAACATTGTGGTCGCCTCACAAGCAGTTTGGAAGACCTTGGGAGTGCCTTTAAGTCAGTGGGGTGAAATGGATATTTACTGGTCTGATACGGATTGATTTTTTCGACACCATCTTATGTCATTTTTATCAGGATAAATACTTTGTGTTTTTTGGTTTGTAATTAGTAGTGGTGGTAAAAATGTGAGTTTGCATTATGATATCTGTATTTGAAGCAATAAAATTACTCCTTTTACATCTATTCATCTTTTTCTTGAAAGTACTGATAATATATCAGTCAGTTGGAAGTTCACGCTCCATAACATTTTCTCTGAAGTGGCATTGAAGCTGGATTTTTAACTTGTTACGAGAGATACCTGTCAATCAAAGAAATGATTCCATGAACAAGTATGGAAAAGATGAAATAGAACGAGCCTAGAATTTAACTCAATTCATACAACCACGTTTAAGAGATAGCATCTAGCAGAAACAGGGTTCAAATTCCAGCACTTGTAACCCATTCTCCTATCTTTAGGCTGCAACCTCCTTTGTACCAAAGAAAAGATTAAACAGAACGAAAAGACCATAAGTCCTAACAGATGTATGATTGACTACGAAATAACCCAAAAGTTTGATTGATATGTTCTGCCAAGGATTGTTAAAGGCCTTCAGCAATAAATTGGCTGAGCTTAATGATTTGAGCAGAACTTGAATTTGAACTTTTCCACTAACCCTCAGCATCATTTTTCTAAACTCTAATGAAAATTTCTTGATGTAATGGATAAATTAGCTTACTGGGACTGTAATCTTGGTATCCTTTCCTGTACAAAAGGTTTAAGTTTTGTCTAGGTACAATTGGTTTACTGGCTATAAACACATCACTTTGCAGTCCCACAATTTCATATAAGTGACCATACTTAAGGACAGATAAATCAACTGGGCGGATTATTGACAGAGAATTAACTTCAAATTAGCATTCTTGAGAGTACAAATTAACAATGGTGCTTTTAAGATTCATACATGTTATCTCATAGTGTTTATTATTCATACATGTTATCTCAAAGTGTTTAATCTATCACTCTCACAACGAAACCAAAATTCTTCTTGAAAATGAGACCAGAAACTTGTCTCATAGTTTCATGAAAAAACAGCTATCCGGTCATGAAGAATGGGCAGAAATATTATAGGAAGAAATTTAACTGATAATCTATTAATTGTAGCATTTAAAAAAAAGACTAATCCGAACCTAAAATTTAGCTCAGTTGATTCATGTAATTATATTTAAAAAGTAACACTTAATAGATTTAAAATTCAAATCTCATAACCCCTTCCCATATTCCCAAGCTTCAATTTAGCCAAAACAAATAATGCTATTATGTCATTATTATGCTAGTAAGTAAATGACTTGGGCAAATCACCTAAAGTGGATAAAAAACTTGTAAGATATTCCCAAAGAACATATCAGAAAAATACAAAATTACGGTACATGGTTTAAACATTTTATTACCTCTATTATCTCTCCAAGTATGCAGTCCATGACAATTTTAAACTCCATATATCTTATTTTATCACTATCAAAATATAAAATTGTAAGGCCCAAATTTGTCTTAACTTCATAGTGAAAGATATTTGTGAATAACTCGTTCCTCATCACTATATATAGCTTTTCCTTAGCCACAAAATTTTCACACCAGAACCTCAAAAAAGAAAAATGAAGAAGCAAGTTGGTTCAAAAGCTTTGGTTCTAATTTGCTCACTTTTCCTATTTGTAAGCATTGAAGCTCAGAGTTGCAGGCCTAGTGGCAAGATAAGAGGGAAAAAGCCCCCACCAGGGCAATGTAACCAAGAGAATGACTCTGATTGTTGTAAAGAAGGCAAGTTCTACACAACATATAAATGTTCCCCCCCTGTTTCAAGCCGTACAAAGGCAACATTAACAATTAACAGCTTTGAAGCCGGAGGCGATGGAGGTGGTCCATCAGAATGTGACAACCAGTACCACTCTGATGATGAGCCTGTGGTTGCACTTTCAACAGGATGGTTCGACAATGAAAAAAGGTGTCTCAAGTATATCAATATCGATGGCAATGGAAAGAGTGTTAAAGCCAAGGTTGTGGATGAATGTGACTCTACAATGGGATGTGATTCTGACCATGATTACCAGCCTCCTTGTGATAATAACATTGTGGATGCCTCAAAAGCAGTTTGGAAAGCCTTGGGAGTGCCTGAAAGTCAGAGGGGTGGAATGGATATATACTGGTCTGATGCTGATGATTGATTTCCGAGTTGCAACATATTTATACTTACGTCTATTTCTATTAGAATAAACATTCTTGTGTGTACGTGTTAGGCTAGCGTGCGATAGTACCATATTTGTGGGAGTATGTATTATGATATGTGCATTAACATTTGAAGCAATATAATTACTCTTTATCCGTGTTAGTCAGACTTGAGATGCAAGCTTCCTTTGCATTCTAACCTTCATGGTGAATAAAAATGGTTATTGAAAGTTTAAAATTCCTTGTAAAAGCCCTGTCCAATTCTTAACCCTATAAAATCATTTTAATAAAAAAATTCAACAATAAAAATATTTTGTAAAAAATAGAAGAAAGAAACAATAGAAGGGTTTTAGGAGGTTTTAAGGAGGCCACGGAAGGAAAGTTGTCAACCACCACCACCACCACAACGCCAAAAAAAGCGTTGACTGACTCTCTGACTCGCCGGTTCCATAGATTCCAACGCACCAAATCCCGAAAAAAAAATGTCCTCAAAAGACACAGAACCCAGACAATCCCCTGATCCTAGAACCCTTAACGACCCAGAAACCAAACAACCCTCAGAAGAAGCCCCAATTAAAGAATCAGAAGAAGTTTCAGAAGATGAAGAAGAAGGAGAGTGTGGGTTTTGCTTGTTCATGAAAGCTGGTGGCTGCAAAGATAGCTTTGTTGTGTGGGAAAATTGCATCAAAGAAGCTGAAGAAAGGAAGATATTGTGGAAAAATGCTTTGAAGCAACCTCAGCTTTGAAGAAGTGTATGGAGGCTCATGCTGATTACTATGAACCGCTTTTACGAGCCGAGAAGAAGGCTGAGGAAGAGGCTGTTAAGGAATTGGAAAAAGAGAAGGAGAAGGAGGATTTGGCTTCTCAGCAAGATTCCAAGGATTCGGAGAAGAAATGAGATGGTTAGTCAAATTTTGGATTTTTGGGTATAATTGAGGGGTTTAACTTGGGAAACTGTAGGAATTGAATGAAATTGAGGTTTTTTTAATACTAATTATTACTGTTTTATGGGTGTTGAAATGGGATCATAAAAAATGAGAATAATTTTTTTATACATGTTGTTGGGACTAACTGAGTGTTGGACTACATAATTTGAATAACCAATGACTCAAACTTGAAATCTTTAAATTGGAGTTTGAAGTTCTAACTGTTTGGTTTATTTGGTAAGTGCTCTTTCACGATAGTGAATGGATGGTAGTTTTTACTTGGTATCAATTACATTGCTTTTTTATTGCTTTGGATTTTTTTTGTATGTTGATCCTTAATATTGTTAGATGACATTCTAGTAGCTACTTGAATCTATGTTAATTGTGTGGAATGATCTTTGGGGTTGCTGATAACTCATTGGTTGTATGGAGTTTACTTGTTAGTGTCTATTGGGATCGTTAATTGTTTGAGTAAGTAATGAAATCACATGACTGACCATTTTCTTGACAAATTTTTGTAATTTAAGCTCAAATTTGTGAAACTGAATGGTTTTCGAATAGGCTACCCTGAGGGTAAAAGCCTACCTTCTAAATGAGTTCTGTTGTTTATAGTCCATTGATCAAGTTCTTCCTTCTTTTTTTTTATAAAGGAAGTTCTTCCCTTCTGGCGGAAAGAATTATTAGGAAGAGTTATACTGTTGTAGTGTATAGATCAGTTTAGTATTCTCGGAAAAGATAAATCATAAACGGAAGATTATCAATGGGAAATTGGAGTCTTTGATAGAACAGGTTGTGTTTTCCTACACAGTATTCTTGCAAAAGGCCGCAAATGATTGGAATCACCTTGTAATCATTGCTTGTTTATGTCTTCTGATTATTTTTATAAGCTCCTTAATATTGGTGGATGTCATTTAACTAGTGAATTGAGTCCACAATGATATAATGATATTTGGATTTGCTTTTTTATAAGTTGGTTGTTTCAGGTTTGCTAATTGGTTCATCTTTTATCCTTGATTGTTTGAACGAGTAGCGAAATCACATTTAACAATTTTTTCTGGGAGAGGACCTTCGTATGATAATCTCTTAGGCTAGTCTCATTGCTTTAACCGTGCTGTCCCAGTATCACTACGAAACAGTATCTATACCCATCCTTGTACACCTGAAAAATTTCTCTGGGTGTGACCTTTTTGGCTTACTGAGGGCATCATTAATGTTGCGATTGTAAAGAGACTTGAGAGTTTTGTACATCATATCGATGAAATAGGAAAGGATTTTACCTGGTTTCACAGATCAGTTGTATACAAATCTTGCTGCCTAATCAAGTGATAGGTGATAAAAGATCAAGATGAAGAGATAAAGAGCCTATTGGCTATGACTACATTTATGAATAGTATTCTTAGCTCCTGATTTGTTGTCACAAGGCTTGACTATTTGCTGATAGTGAAAGACTGTGAACAGAACCAAGATGAGATTGTTTTGGCACAAGATCACACCTCTGAACTTATTCATTTTCTGTAGTTTTAAAGAACAGAGTTTTCTTTGATGGATGATCACAAAACCCATCGGGTCTCTTATTTTTCTTATGCTGGGCAAGTTTACAATATATATTTTCTCCATCAGCTCCTGTTATGTGAGCTTTTACATGTGCTCATCTCAATTCTTTGGTTTGTATGTATTTGTAAATGAAGATTGCAGCTCGGGTATTGAAGGGAGACCCTTTTCTTTGTTCCAGGTAACATGCGAGAACATGATTGATTCATTTAGAAGTTAATTCTAAAAATTAATATGCCATAAAAATGGTGCGTGTTTTTTGGGCTATAATTAGAATTCAAGCTTGAAACTTTCCTGGAGCAGACTCCAGTACCACTGAACTAAACCGATTCATTCTTTTTTTTCAAACTTATAAGTTTTCTATTTCACATGCCTATATGGGGTATAAAAGCTAGTGCTACATTTTTGGGTATTAGCCATGCTTGATAATTCAACAAGAATTCGGTAAAACTCTTCATTTTTAGGATCTTTTTCTCTGAGAAGATGAAATGAAAAAGATTACCTTGACAATCTTCTTAATGCCTCTGGCATCTGCACTCTCACTTTCAGACCAAATCTCGGCTCTTTTTCCTTTCAATCTTGCAAAAATTTGCTTGTATTTTGGAAATTTCATGGACTTTTTTTTTATAATAAAAACGGGTAAAAATGGATCTTTATCTTGTATCATCCTTGGAATATTTAAACTCCAAAAGCGAAATCAAAAGATTGACATATCTCATTATAAATTAATATGCAACTAAATGGAATAGAAAGCTCCGAATTTAAATTTTCTCATTTGTCAAACTATAAAAAAAAAAGGTAAATTATGAAAACAGTGACTAATAATTATTACTGGCATAAGCCAACCATGCCAAAAACTTGACAAAACGACAGCATATTTGTGGTCACATAAATCGAAATCAATTACCTACAACGGCTACATTGCCCGCCATAAAAAGTTACTAAAAAATATCATATACAAAATTTTCACCGTACAGACGGTAATTCTACAGTACTTTTATGTACTTTTTTTGGATTCTTCCTTTTTTATTTCTATATCAAAAAACTGTATTAATTTTATTTTGATTTTGTATAAAAAGTTGAAATTTTCTGTTTCGGATTATAAATCCGTACTTCATTCACGTAAATTCTGTTGATAGCTTGGCATTTGGTTTCTCAAATTATTCTCGTAACGATACTGTGATTTTACACCACGAAATCTGTAATGTTGACAGGCCACTAAAATACATATGTAATAATTGTTCAATTATTATTAAAATATCTAAAATAATATTTTAATTTTAATACTTTTAATTTTTTTATTGTCATTTTTTTAAAGAGGAATATGCCAACGAAATATTCATCCAATGGATTGCAAAGGTCTAGAAGCCAAACTTTTCTCAATGCTGACAATATATGCTTTGAATGGGAATCTTGAACAACCTGTAAATTTGGAACTAGCTGCTAGGCTTAGCTTTTGATAGCTTCTTTCTTCACTGAAAAAGATATATATACCCACACAAAAAATAAATAAATAAAGAGTTTTTCCTTATCTCTTCCAAATATATATTTGTCCCTAACACTGCATTCATTGGCACAGCATAACACGTGGCCAAGGTTCCTGCCCTAAAGAGAGGGCAGGGGCGGGTTTGCTTTGTCGTTGTCATGTACAACAGACGAGGGTAACCGGCGCGTACTGCCACCGACCAGTTTGCACTTTTGTACCTTTTTGGTTTGGTGTTAAGAGGCCATAAACTTCAACAAAACAACACTTAAGATGCCGACATGTGAATGCCAAAAAAAATTTTAAAAAAAGAAAAACTTTCTCCCTCTCTTTCTAGTGCCCACATGACACAAACAACTTCACTTGCAAATCAATAATAATATCAAATCTCCTAATAATGGAATAGATATCATGCATTAATTACACTAAAACTAAAAAATAATACTGTTAATAATGACTTGAGATACAGATTGGGAAGTGGGGGTTTTTGGTTATTAGGCCCATTTGCCTCAATCCGATCCTAGAGGGCACCAGTTATATTTTCAGAGGAAAGACTTTAGAGTTTCATAACAGATCAGAGAAATGACAAAAAATGCCTTTGTGAAATTGAAATTGATTAAATAATAATGGAGTTGCAAAGAGAAAGATGAGAAAAAAATGGGAATTTTTTTATTATTGACGGAATGGTTGAGGAAAAAGAAAAGAAACAACAATATTAATGACAACATATTTCATCCTTCTTTCACTAACCCAGTAACTAAATACCCACCACACATCCAATCCAATCTCCCTCATGGCTTTTCCAATGTTTTGTATATATCATCACATATATACATGTACAGATCCTCTACTACCAGCCTGCCTGCCTGCCTGCCTGCCTGTCCTCTCACTGTATCTCTAGAATGTAAACTAAGTATCCACTTTAATTAAATTGTACACATTTCTCTTTTTTTTTTTTTTTTTTGCTTTTCCCACTGGATTAAAGTAGTGATACAAGAACCAGGCTGGCCTACTTGAAAATGGAAAAGGGGAGAAAAAATTAACAAAAAAGAGAAAGGGAGGAAGAAAAGGGAACCCAAGAGCAATGAGGAATGAATGAACAAATAAAAACTGCTAAAGGGAACTAAAGCTAATTTCTCTGGGTTCCTCTGGCATTGGCTGCTAATGGGATTATTATGTAGTTCTGATTTTATGTCACAGGTATCTGGTAATGCTTATGTGGTGGGAGGAAAGATTGGGATGGTAGTGGAAGGGTTCCCCAACAAAATGGTCATTTGGGTAGCAAAAAGTGAACACAGAAAAGCAGCAGTACAGTACAGTCATGAGTTCTAAAAGCTGTAATGCCTCACCGAATGTTCCAGCATTTCTCGACTCGGGCACACAAGTTCCTTCACCCGGCTACCATTTTTGTATATCTTGAATGTAGGTACAATCCTCACATTCTCAGCATTTGCAACTGTTGGACTCTCGTCGATGTCCACCTTTACTCCAGAGAACCAACAAAGAGTAGAGAAGAAACACTTACGTTATTTTCACTGCTTTACATATAGTTTTCTTTATCTAAATAAGTATGGAAAAAACAAATAAACCATGGAGAAGAAACTTGAGCTAGTTACCTTAAGAAAATTTATGGAGGGATAGCGGCCACATAGTGCATCCACAATTGGAGATATCTGCTTGCATTGCATGTTGGAAGCAATCTTAAAAAGGACTACAGAGATGCCTGTGGTTCAAAATTAACAGTAAAGAGGATTGCAAGACAGTAAAAGGGGGAAAGAGAGCAGTTGAAGATAGTTTATAATGTTCGGAATGTAAGGGTAACACTTACATGGCAGAGATATTGCAGCTCTGAACTGCTCAAGACTGGATATTTCCTCTACTTCACCACCAAACTTCATATTATAGACTTCTTCACCACGAGATTTCTTCAATGCAACTTGTGCATGAAATAGAGATCCAGCAATGTCATTATCATCTGGAAGTTCCCTTCTCAAAACTTCATAATCTCGCACAGCATCAGCCCATTTCTCTAACTATAGTTCACAATGACTGATCATTAGCGTGAGGCAACCAAATCCTTATATAGATACACAAAAGACAGTTATTATTATGATGAAGGAAAGCTTTAAAAAATTCTTTACCTTGCTATTGGATGCTGCCCTTCGAAGAAGGGCTTTTATGTAGTTCGGTTGGATGCTTAAAGCTTGGTCGCAGTCTTCAACAGAGCTCTCCCACTGCCCAAGTTTAAACCAACAAGCTGCTCTGTTGCAATAAAGAACAGAGTTTGATGGATCAAGCCTGAGACCATCCCCGTAAGCTGAACAGGCCTCAGTGAACCTTTCGGATTTGAAAAGATCATTCCCACGTGCTCGTGCTCTTGCAACCAACCTCACATTGTTAAGCAATACAGCAACTTCAACATTTCGGGGATCAATCTGTCCAGCCTTCTCAGCAGCTGTAACTGCTTTCTCAAACCTGCAAGAAATCCATCATCAATTTTCTTACTCTGCTCCCAAAGTCTTTGGCATCTTATATCTGATGAAGCATAGCATTGTTTTAAAACTAACCTTCCAAGTGCCATCTCAATTTGTGCTCGGACAAAGAAGAGATACGCTTCAGAACGCATCCCAAAAAACTTCGTCCGTGAGGCATTGGTGCCTGGTTCTAACTTAGGAACAACTGAAAGGCTGGATTGAGCATCGTCAAGTTGATGGAGTTTCAAGAGGGCTTCCACTCTACACATAAAAAGCTGTAAATTCAATTTGAACCAGTTCAGCCATTTGCAAAGTCTGTTAACAACACAAATTCTTCATAATTTATTGATGGAAAGTTTTCGACAAGTTTTTTACCTGAGGAGAAAAGTCAGCTCCAGCAGTGATGGCAGCATCAGTTTCCCTTAATGCACTTTTCCAGTCTCTTATTCTCCGGGCATCTGTACATTTGCTAAGATGTTTTTCCACAGCCTGTAACTTCTGCAACTCAGTTGGATCTTGTGGTTGCCCAGGAAAACATTGGTGCTCCCTAGCATTCTCAACCTGCCCTACCCTGAAACACAGTGGAGTTAAATTGGAGCAACCTAAATACCGTACGCATATTGGATTCAATTGGAGCAACCTAAACATGTATGCATTACACTACTATTGGAGAACAAAAGTGATTTCAAAATGCCTTTAATCATTAAATGAGCAAAAGGAGGGCATCAAGAAAAAAACTGAAACAGATGGATATCAAATTTTTATAGAAGATAGAAACATAGCCGACAAGTTCATGAGCCACCCCATATCCTTAGGGAACGGATTCTTCGAAAATAACTTACAAGAAGCCATCATTTGAAGGAAACTATGGACAAAAAAATCCTTAAGCATTTCAAGGGATTACTCTGAGGAAACCCAACATCTAAAATCAACAAAGAACTCAAGAAATATTTAAAAGAAACAGTAAACCTAGACATGGTGATCTTATAAATACAAACAACCATTAAAATGAGAACCATATAACTAAAAGCAAATAAACACAACAGGCATGAAGAGTTGAAGAAATCCATATCAGAAAGGAAAAGATGGAGAGCATGTAATTGCGCTGATAAATATAGCAAAGAAAAATAAAACTTATTAAAACATATGGATCTAAAAATCGAAAAAATCAGCAACTATTCTTATCAATGCAGATGAAAACGTTAGCATTATTCACATTCATTGACCAGATCAAAACTTCTGCAACCATTATCAAGACAAAGCAATAGAAGAAGAAAGTTAATAGAAATAAAAAAAAAAAAAAAGAGCTCTTGTTATCAATGTAGATCAAAACATCATACCCACCAAAACCTATCCACAAACATTCACCAAACAATATCAAAAACCAAAATTCTTTCTCAAAAAACTTGATCCAAAACATCAACAAAACTATCACTAACTCACCGAAATACCAAAACTATCCCAAAAGAAGTTCCACCGACACTCATTCCTTCACCAATGTAGATTAAAAACAAAACCACTAAAAGTATATATGTCAAAAGTGTTTTCACCTTAGTAATAATGAAGCCAATCTCTGATGAGCCCTGCAATAATTAGGATCCAATCTAACCGCTTCTTCGCACTCCTTCAGCGCCTCTCCTACTCTCCCTAACGCCGTCAATGCAGCCGCCCTGTTGCTCCGGTAAGCTGCATTCCCCGGAGACAAAGCTATAGCCTTATCATACAAACTCAAAGCCTCTAAAAAATGTCCTTTTTTATACATCTCATTCCCAACTCTCTTAACTTTCTCTGGTTCCAAACTCCCCATTGTTTTCCTCATTAAATCACTTACATTTCCCCGGCTTCCCAGGGTGTTACTGGGTTCAAAGACACCACCTTTCGAGGTTGTAACGGGTCCAGTTCCCACTCCACCACCCCGCATTATGCTGCCATGGCCATAATTAACTGAACCGGAACCTAAAACGTCAGACCTGGAGCTTCGGTTCACTGCCATGCCAGTTTTTAGGATTTTCCCTGAAGGACATATGTTTCCCGTCGGAAGAACGTTGAGTGGCGGCGAGTTGACGGAGCTTTGACCGGAATAGATCAACGGGTGGGTCGTGGTGGTATTGGATTCGGATCTTGTCTGACCCGGTTTTGTATTCCGGGTCGAATCGGTCGGGCTTGTTTCGCTTGACCCGGAAAGTTCCCCGGAGTGATTATTAGGACCCGATTCAGATCTTCTAGCAATCGCGTTGGATCCATTTCGACCTGAAACGGATCCGGATGAGCTGGAGCTCGAACTCGTCGTTGTAGTCGTGGTCGTCGTCATCTTGAGGCCTGGTTGCCGAGTTCGGAGTGGCGAAACGGGTGAACCCAGATCGAGTTCACGGAAATCGGGTTTGTTAACATCGTAACTTAGTGAGTCACGGAGTTGATCAGCGAGTTTCTCCACACCCCCTAACTCCTTTACTGGCTTTCCAAGATGCGACATTTCGCTTCCTTTCCCTTTCACTAAAATTGGTTTATTCCAATTCTCTTCCCTTTCCCCTCCCCTCTCTCTCTCTCTCTTGTCTTTGGGTTTTTATTCGTAATGTGAGTAAAAGGAAGAGCTTGAAGTGAATGCAGAAAGGACAGAGCTTGAAGAAGAAAGGAAAAACTTTGAAGAAGACATCTAAGAGAGAGAAGAAAATGGAAGGAAATGAAAGGAAAGGAAAGAAAGAGAGAAAGAGATGGGGATCTCGTGATATAAAAGGAAGAAGCAAAGAATGAATGTGAATTTAGAGAGAGAGAGAAAGGGTTTTACAGAGAGAAAAGAAAGAAGAAGAAATGGAAGAGAAAGAGTTTTTATTTATTAATTTTTATTTTATTTTCTTCTTCCACCTGCTGCTTCACGAGACAGGTTTCATTCATCTCGCTTCTCTCTCTCCATTCACTTCTCTAATCTATTTATCTCTTTCTTTTTCTTTTCTTTTTTTTCTTTTTTTTTTTCTTTTGATTTTCTTGGGTTGCCTTTGTTTGCCTATATAATTTGCTTTTTGTATTGTTTCTGCTAGGAAGCCATGTCATCTCACTCTCTACTGAAGGAGATTGAAAACACGCACACTATTACTAGCAGATATATACTATATATTTTTAAAATATGTATATTATTAGGTTCAAATATGTATAATATATATTTTGTTTTCCAAAAAATATAGATTTTCCTTTTGCAAAAAAAGAGAGTAGATTTTGGGATCAAATATGAATAACAGATTTACTTTGTACTTTTATTGTGTGATTAGATTAATGAGTTAAAATGATGAATTCTTGCCTTTTTTTTATTTTATATCCAATAACACTAATTTGTTACTTATCCATCTCAAAATATTTATCATATTATAACTTTTATAAAGTTTAAAGAAAAAAATATGATTTTAATGTATTTAATTTTAAATTTTAAATTTTTTTATAAAATTAAAGTGTTATGATTTTTAATATTAAAAAGTCAAAAAAATTAATAAAAATAATTTTAAAATATAAAAAATAAGAGTTTAAGATATTAAAAAAAAAAGACATAATTTTGGAATATCTAAAAAAAAAAAACAACAAAAATGGGATAGGAGGAGTATTATTTTTTTTATATAAAAAAAAAATTGTGAGGTGAAACTATTTTATTTTATGATTAAGACATATCATAAGATTTACATTAGACTTACACGTTATTGAAAGAAATTATTCATAAGGAGAATGAACCTAAACTTTAAAAGTAAAATATTTAATTTTTATGAATTCAACTAATTTTCATTAATTTATTACACTTTGTTCTTGTATAAAATAACTTAATTATTAAACATTTTATAAGTGAGTGTTAGATTTCATTGTTTTTATATTTTATAAATATGAGATTGGATATTATTCTCACGTTTCTATCAAATTATATGATTAAGGTAGAAATATGTTAGAAAAAATTAACGATCCTATCAAATGAGTTATATCATATATGCTACTCAAAAAAATATAAAATGCATCTATGAATAGTTTCTATTAGTTTTTTATTTAATAAACTAAAAAGTTAGATAAAATTGTATAATTCTCATAAAATCAAGACTATATCTTTATCTCTTAATCCTTTTCTAATGTTATCACATGACTAATAGTTGAAATAACATGTATTTTAAATTTTACAATTTTGTCATCATATTCATTTTATATTCTCCATCTTGTTTTCCTCTCTTAAACACACATACATAAGTATATATATATTTAATAATTTACATCTTAACACTAAAAAAATTAAGAGTTAATTGGATGATTGATAAGATTAAAAAACAATAGTGATGATAAGATTAATTACAATAGTAATATGATTTGATAATTTAGCTATAAAATTAAATTAATAATTAAAATATATGTTTAGATATAAATATAACGATAATAATTAAATTAGATATATCAATTAATTGCATAGTATAAAATTAACTTTTATTTTATTTTTAATTATCTCGTTAGAATTAGTTGAACCTTTCTCCTTAAATTGGAAACTATAGTAAAAATACAGTTGGGAGCCTCCAATTGAACCGATAGGATGCTATCCAAACGCACCTTACGAAGCAATTAAGGGAAAAACTCTTGTAATATGATAGAATCCAAACAAGTCCTTAATAAGTTGCTTTAAACACCAAAACAAATAAATTAATTTTCCACAATTAAATTTATTTTTCTATTATAATTTGGAGAAAAAAATATAAAACTTCATAAAAAAGTAAAAATATTTTTTCTCATACTTAAAAGGGAGCAAAGGTAACTAAAAGAAATATATATTCTACCTTAAAAAGTTAAATTACAACAAATTTGAATTAAAATTTCCTTTTAAACTTATTATAGCGCGTGAGATATACTAAAAGAAAGAGCAAGTGAGAAAGCAAAATTAAAATTGCATGAAAATAATTAAGAGGGAAGAGGTGAGCAGGTCCATTATCTTCCTCTTCTCCTCTGTCGCAGTGTTATTTTTACTGTTTTTTTGTGCCATAGTTAAATTCACAGGTGTTTATTTTTACTGCGGTAAATTTAGTACTAATTTGCTGAACTCAAGTCCTTGCTTCCCAAAAAAGGCATTCAACCACGTGGCACATGAACAGAGGTTTATGGCCCCAGTTTAGGACACAGCAACATCAACATCAAAAACAGCATCCAATTCTTGGACATTTACTGATGTTACTGTAATTACTAAATTTACCGTGTCCTGTTTCTTTACTTTAGAAAGATTTTAACTCACCATTAATATTTATTCAAACTTTTCCACAGTTAAATATTTTCTTTACAAGTGTTGCTCCCTTCAAAAAAAAAAAAAAAATTGCTGTTACATATATAAATAAAATTACAATGAAGTAAAATACACCATAAAAGTGGTTTGATGTTCAAGTTTTTTAAAAATATGATTTTGAGATAATATATATGGAAATTCTCATAAACATTTGACTATATTTGTAAAAAAAAAAATTAAAACTATTGGGATTCATGTCCATGATATAACATTGATAATTGCTTGCATATGTTAATGTTAATAATGCTGAATAAGTTGTGGGGGGTATTTTCTAAAATTTTTCAAAAAATATGCAAATAAAATATGAAAATACCTTTAATTATATTAACAAAATTGTTATCCTATGTTCATAAAAATTGTTAAATTTTATTTATTTATAATTTAAAATTATTAAATAATATTTTAAAATTTTATTATATAAATTAATTAAACTAAAAATGAGGTTCAAAGTTTTATACACATTTTTCATCATGGTCTATAATAAAGTTACAACAACTTATTTATTTGGAATTTTTTAAAACAAAAAAAAATGCTATGATAAATATAAATAGATAGATAATGAATCATCTAAGAGAGGAAATGACAGGTCATGAAAAAGAAAATGTAGGAGGTTCTGACTACATTTATGTAAGGTTTTTTCTTTTTATGGTATTTTGATATTTCAATTAAATTCATGACTGCAAATTTCATCACCTAGATTCCTGTACTTTCTAACAGATTTAAAATACCCAAATTACCCTCGTAATCACATAACTGCCCCTATCCATTCCCATTAATTAAAATTGCTTCAAACCATCAAAAACCCCCACCTGTTCACTTCGATAGACTCGAGAAAGTGAGAAAATGTCAACTTCATATAAAAAGTGAAAGACCTCAAAAGCCGAAAAGGCCACCGGTGGCATCATGGTAAAAAGTGGTTGATTAGGGGTAGTATGGGAACTTTAATGTGGGCCCAGAGGGACAGAAGTAGCTGGCCATGTGCAGCGGAGAGTGGCGTGCCAGCTGGCCCATTGAGGGAAAAAACTCGAGGGCAAGAGTGGCGTCCAGCTAAGCAGATAGCGGAGAGAATTAACGGCGTTAAGATGATTCAAAGATATTTGGTTCGCATTGGTTTGCTGTGTTGAGGATGGGGATGTAACGGACGTTAAAGAAGGATGGTGACAGCAGACGAGGAGGGTGGCCATATTTATCAGTGGTGGCAGGGAAAGGGAATGATGACCAGGCGATCTAATTCATGCCAGGCAAGCAAATTGCCCACTTTGTTAGGTTTGATTCAATGCTTAAGGGTGTACAATAAGCCAATAAGGATGAAATCTATTTCAAAACATTTATAAGTATAGTTATATCCGACGTTGCTTGAATATTTAATTTAATAATTAATATATATTTTTTATTTTAATTTTAAATATTTTAATAAAAAATAAAAAATTTTGCTTATATTGTTATACGAGAAACTCAAAACAAATTCAATAGCTAGTGTTTCTTCTATTTAAAAAGTTGAGTTCCAATATCTCTTTTTTCAAATTTAAAAAAAAAAATTTGCATGCATTATTGGTATGAGAAACTTGAATTACATAATTTTCATATTATCATATTTTACATAAAAAAAATTAAACATAAAATTAGCACAGACAAAAAAGTCATGACATATAGCTCAAACTCATGATAATTCTTTGAGATTAAATAAAATTTAAGTACCTGTCGATTAGATTAATTTGTCATTGATTTTATTATTTCATTCTCTAAATTTAAGTGCTACAACAATTTAAATTTTTTTTAATTATGTAAAATTATATTTCGTTTTATATTAAGATAAGATGTGTTATATATATATATTTATAAATATGATCTTAGTTTAATGATAAAAAAATTAATTATAAATATTAGAATTCAATTTAAATTTATTATATATTACTTTTTAAAAATGATTTAAACTACAAATTTAATATATAACATACTTAACAAAAGTTATACAAAAAAGTAGTGGATAGAAAGAATAGCCATAATAATTTGAATTTACGATTATTATTATGTTAGTACATTCAGCACTATCCTTGATAAAATGATAATTAGACCCCAAATCTTAATAATAATAAGTTAATTAGTACTAAATATAATAATCTACCTTTAGTAAAAAAATAATAATAATAATATAAATTCTAAACAGTGTGGCCACATTTGTCATGAAAAGAATTTGACACTTGCAAAGCACGTGGCAAATGTTGTATATGAGAACATCATTTTCTCTTTTGGTTTTTTGCTCTTGGAATTTTCCTTTGTCCCAAGTTTATCAATTATAACGGCTACCTGCTATTTGACCCCATTTTCTCCATATTTTCCCACCTTTTCTCCTATCAACGAATTTTGTCGGTTCGACATTACGACTTTTCTCGTACATTTTACCATTGCAATTTAATTTGATTAAAAGATGGGTTAACTAATGTTTATAGATCATATTTGTTAAGATTATACAAATAATTCAAGTTTACGCTAACATTATTTCGTTTTAAAAGAGTTAAGATTTCATTAAATTTGTCAATTAAATATTTTTAAAAGTTATGATTCGAAAATTTTAAACATGTAATATATATTATTAATTTTTATATTTATTTCTCTTTTGAATGCAAGGATTATTAATTTTTTAGGTTGATCTTG